CGATTGGATATTTGTTGTAAGAAACTTTGTTTTATTTTGAATAAGAAGTGAATTTTATACTTATATTCTCTATTATTTATCTATCTTAAATAAGTAAGTGGTGTAGAAATAATATTCTCAGTTCCTTATAAAAAGGGATTGTGACACCAATAGCCCTATGAGTGTCCTAAGTCCTATGGTTAGGAATCTCCACATGATACTCTTTTTATCCTGACCTTTTCCTGAGACTTATCTTGTTAGTCAAGCTAGATTAGTCAATGGAGGTTCAAGTCCTCACCATACATGTGTGAACAATAGGATTATTATGGATCCAAAGTCGCATAAGCATGAAAATAAGATTTTTGCCAAACCAAGAGTTATCATTTGCATTGATCATGTATCATGTAATTAGATTTGCATTTTATTAGCTTGTACAAGTTACAATTGTTGCAATGTGACGTATGCTTGTACTTGCTTTGTTTTGTTTCTTTTTTGAATATTATTTACTTGAAAATATATCTCACTTCTTGTTTTTCTTTGTTGAAATATGTTGTGGTGTTAGATATTTTCTACTAGTTGTCGTAGATTTTGAGGATAGCTTTTCCTTATCTTTTTCTCCACGTTGAGTGGGAGTTTGAAAAGGATGTTTCAGATGCTGAGGAGATATGGGAGTAGGGGTGACAGCGGGGTAGGTCAGGTGCGGGTTTGACCTCCCTATGACCTGTCCCACACCTTTTTGCAGGTTTAAAACTTACTCCAAACCCACAATGCAGATTTAAAATAAAACTTGACCCCAACCCTGCAAGTACCCACGTATTTGCAGGTTAACCTGTTGGTTTCACATTAAATCACATATAACATTGTAATTCTTATTTTAAAAAAAAAAAGACAAAACAAGATACAAAATGCATGTCTCAAACAAAAATACACAAATCCATCAAGCATATTGCTTGAAATTCATAATTAATGGCAAAAGTTCCAAATAAAAGTAAAGAAATCTATATGGTTTTTTGACAAACAACAAAAGTTTCACAATGAATGGCAATTCTCCTTAACGAATGTGATTTTTCATTTTGTAATTAAAATGTTATCTCACTAACATTAATGTTGGCTTGGTGGTAAGCACACTGTCATTACTGGTCTAGGGCGTGGGTCACCCACAAGTGTGGGTTTTATGTGAAACCTCTACCACATGCTCCGTGGGTCAAAACTTGCAATTGTGACTATTTTTTGTCGGCCCTACATGGGAGTGCTTCGTGGTCATGAACAATTGTGCTTCTCTTTGTGTACAACTAATTAAGAGATTTTTAAGAGAGGGAAAACCTTATTTAAGGAGAGCCATGACCTACAACTTAGATATCTTGGTTTTGGGGACGAGAGATCATTGGTTGAAGACAAAAAATATTTTTTCAAAGTCTAAACAAGTGATTGAGAATGTATGTTGGGAATAAGAACTCTCTTCATCTTTTTCCTTTGGGATTTCTTCTAGTTTGTGTTTTTTCTTCAAATGATTATGAATTTCTTTATCATTATTTTCTCTTCCTATTTTATTATGAGTTTAAATTCATAGTTAGGGTTATGGTTGATTCTTTGCATACTTTATATGATATTTATATCTAATGACAATTGCAGTTCTTTTTATGATTGGTTTTTGCCCTAATGTGTATATATTTGTATGTTGTAAATTGACCACTTTTAACATCTTATAATTAATTGCATTGTAAGTGATCATATCACATATAGTTAATGAATCTATAAGGTAAAATGGAACAAAAAATTAAGTGGGCCAAACTTAATTTTTCTCTTTCAATCGGTTATTAAATTAACAAATTCATAGACTCTTTATATTTTCTCTCTCCTTTTAGCTTGCACGACCATTAGAGTGATAGTTCAAGGAAAAGAATACTAACATTGTATGACCATTGAGTGTTAATAATTTTAGCATAAATGATTAGCGATCGTAGCAAAACTGGAATTAGCATTAAACAAAAAGCTAGCACAAAGAGGTGAAGGTAAAACTATATGCCTTAGGTTCATGTTAAATAGTTTCTTCCAAGAATTTGTGTTGTTTTCTTTATCTTTTAATTACTTTCTCTTTTAAATCTTTCATAATTCTATTTTATTTTATCATATTTTAATTTGGTTCAAATAATTAAATTAAGATATTTTTAATAATTTGAACAATTTATGTGAAACAATATTTCAAGAACTCAATCTGAGAACTCTCTTTATTACTTTTTGATAATAATTGGAATAATTTCTGTGAAACAATATTTTAGGAACTCAATTTGAAAATTCTCTTTATTATTTTGTGAAAGGTATATTTGTCAACAAACAAAGAACAATTAAATTTGTATAATATTAAAGACTTAGAATAAATTATTTTTATTAAATAATATTAAATAAAAACAATAATTTAATATCAAGTTAAGTTACATATATATCTAATTTGTGTCTATATTATTGATAATTATTAAATCATAATAATATTTTTCATATAATTTTATAAATAAGTTTTTAGCACATTATTTTTTTAATTTTATTTGACTATTAATCATAAAAAATTTTACATTTTAATATTTTTATATTATTATTTTATTTATTTTTATAAAATTATGTTAGAAACATCACATATTCAATAAATATTTTTAAAGTCACATAAAATATATAAAATTGACAACGAAAAGGAACACTAGTTAAATTTGTTAAAATCAAAATGTTCAAAATGATTTATTTAACTAAAATTTATTGTGTTAAAAAAATTAAATGCAACAATGTCATCATAAAAATCGTAGATATATGATGCTTAATATTATAAAATTCATGAATGCAAAAAAGTAACTTTGTGAACTTAGTGAATATTAATGAATATTTGTAAATTTAAATTTTAACTCATCTTATTTTGATAGAACTTATTTTTAAAGTGAAATAACTTATTTTTTTTAATTAATAGAATTTTTATTTTTTAAATATTTTTGTATATTTAAAATATAATTTTTAAGTAATTTTAAATAAAATAATTTAATAAAAAATAATAAAAAAATATGTATCTTTTACTAAAAAAAATAGCATAATATTTATTAATTATTTTTTTAAAAAAGTGAGCTAACCCATTTCTAACCCTAATCTTAACCCACCTTTTTTTTAATATATTGAGGCCTAGAGATGGCAATGGGTAAAGTACCCGATGGGTACCCGCAAAATTTATCCACAATAGGTAGGGTATTTACCCGCTATACGGGTACGAGTATGGGTATGGGTAAAAGCCCGTAAAATTTAATGGGGATGAGTGCGGGTATGAGTATCTAAGTACCCACCCCGCCCCATACCCGCATATATATATATATATATATATATATATATATATATATGCTTGAACTTTATTCTACAATTATGCATTGAATTTTTGTAGTATTATATTACTTATGTGAAGTTATATAAAATTAATATAAAAATATATTTAATAATAAAGTAAACCAAAACATTTATTTTGGTTTATATTTTTAATAGAAAAATTTATTTACTATTTTATATCATTTAATTAGGCTAACACAATTTAATTATTACATAGTTAATATGAGATTGACTTTTTTTAAAATATTATTTATATATGACACACATAAAATATTTTTTACACAAATATTTTTGTTAATAAAATCATATTGATGTTTAAATTATAAAGTGAATGATAAATAATAAATATATTATAAATATTTTATAAATTTTACAATCACCTACTATTACCGTAAACTTATTATTTATTAATAATATTTAAATTTTATTTTTTATATTTTAATTGAAAATAATATTTTTCTATGCAACATATGTATTACAAGTACAACTATAATTTATTGAATCTAAATAATATTATTCTTACTATTTATTCACATTCAAAGAAGTTTTTGAAAAGATATAAATATAAAAAATTATTGTTAATTTTTATTTGTTAATTTTTTTCAGATAAAAAAGTATAATTTTTTTAATATACACGTATATTTCTTTATTATATAATTTTATTGTAACTATTTATCTTTTATTCAAATTCTTTCTTTTAAAATTTATATACATTATAAATATTTAATTTACTAAAATAATTTTTCAAAAATTTATATTTTTGATAAAATACTTTCGTATAGTATATGAGTTAAAAAATACTAATATTAATATATATATATATATATATATATTATATTATATTATTTTAATTAAATCTATTATTTTTCTTACAATTTCAAATTCAAAAGTTAAAAAAAATATTTTATGTATCCACTTTCTGTTGTTAGTATTAAACTTCTCTACTCTAACTCTATTCTCATTCTCAATGTCTGTCTCACTAAAACTTAACAACTATGAAACGTTATTCATTAGAATTAGTTGTCAATGTCGTCACAAGAAGTTACTAAGTGATACCACACGAAGGGACAACCATTGTACAGATCTATTTCGTTGTCGCTCTGACATTACCAATCAATCAAATCTCACACAAGATAGAATTATCACTGCAAATAACTTGTGTGTTTAGTTTTGCTTATTGTTTCTAAGAATTTTAGTTTAAAAAATTATTATATTAAGATACATCTAACGTCTATGATCTTTGAATATTTGTTTGTACCTTGTTCGACAACTACATATTGAATTTTTGTATTATTATGCTACTTATGTGAAGTTATATAAACATATTTTTTTTTATAAATATTTTTTTCTCAAACAAGCACGTGTAATGAGTACAAAACGGGTATGCGAGTACCCAGAGAGTACGGGTACGAGAATTAATGTTTATACCCACGCGGGTATGGGGCGAGTATGGATATTTTTTTAAAACGCAGGTATGGGGATGGGTACTGTAGTACCCTACCCATACCCTACCCATTGCCATCCCTAAGTCAAAGCAAGCTTATACATAGGGCTTAAAAAATGTAGCTATGTAATAAGTTATATGGGATGAATCATGAATTATAGTTCATATTGACAACTCAAATGGTAATTCTTAAGTTTTGTATTTTTTTTTTTTTAGCAATTATCATATATTATGAAACACACAAATGTATTATTGATTAAATTCAAAATTCATTATTAACATTAATAGTCTCGTTGGTATGATCCTTAACTAGCTGTATAGAATAATGTACAAATCAATCTCACAATGCCTTTTTTTCAACACACAACATAAAGGTTGAACATAAAAAAAAAAGAAACACAATATTAAGAAGCAAACATATACTTTGTAAGTTGTAACTAAAAAGGAACTGTATCCGTGATGCAATTGTAACCAAAGTAGATTCTATGTAGCCAGCCACCAATTAGTCAAGGCTCGGTCAATACAAATTTTGTTGCATACATGTTGATCCTTAATAAGCGGATCAAATAATAAAGAACATGTTTGTCTTTGTATCTAATATAATTTACTTTTAATCTCTTATTAAAGTTATAAAGAAATTAATGCGGTGGGAAAAATAAAATAATAAAAAAAAAAGGATATGATGATAAATTGAGAAGAAATCAAAAGAGAAGAGAGGTACGAGGTATGTAAAAAACAAATTAGGCAACAAATCTTGAGAAAAATATATATAACTAGGAAAATAATTATAAGAGTAAAAAAAAAAACTATTCAACTAATTTAAAGCATGTTTATTTACATTTTTAAAAAGATTTTTTTAAATTAAAAAATATACTTATTTTTAATTTTGAAAAGAGAAAACTCTTTAAAAATGCAAACAAACATGCTATTAAATTTTTAAAATTGTTCTTCTCGGTAATTCCGGTCAACCGAATACAAAACATTTTAGCGCTTATAAAGATTAAAAAAGAAGTAAAATATTTCATATTGACAAAGAAAAAATCATTATTATTAGTTGACTCAATTGACTGGCAGAGAGGGGTTCAGGTACATACATCCAACAACAACACACACCAAGGAAGTTTTAACAAACCCTATTTTGTTGACAAAATAATGCAAATACAAATCCAACAGAAAGAAAAGAATAACCCATTTAACAAGAAGGCAAAAGTAATAAGAATAAGACTCTTTTAAAATCACTTTCAGTAATGGGGATTCCATGTTCACACAAACCACCTACAATGCTCAAGATTCCACCGTGAACCTGATTGAACAACCAAAGCTTGGCCATGCAAGCCTCCATTTTCATCTAGTGGTAATTCTTTCTTCTTTTTTTAATGTTCTGAAAATTTGTCTTATATTTTTAGAACAAATGTATTATTCTGTAAATTCAATGTTGCATCACTAATAATAATGATCTCATTGGTAGGATCTTAGACTAGTTCTGAAGAACAATATACAAATCTACTTTGCACTATCCTTTCTCCACACAATACAAAGAAGCAAACATATTAAGCAGCTAGCAAGTTATAATAAAAAAGGAACTGTATCTATGTTTGCAATTGTCCCCAAGGAAGGCAACGAAAAGAGAAAGACTCGAGACCCCAAAAACAAATACAGAAAGAATCCATGTTGCCACTAATTAGTCAAGACTTTGATCAATTCAAATTTTGTTGCATACAGCTTAGTTACTTAGAAGGAGGATCAAATAATAAAGAACATGTTTGTCTTTGCATCTAAGATAGACATTTTATCCTTTCTTTCTTCAACTCCTTGAATGGTATCATAATTCCTCAACAGTTAACTACACCACTGTCTAAAAATTTAGAATTAGTTCAGATAAGCATAAGAGCTTCTCTCTGGTCAAGGGACCACAACCATCGTTCCAGCAACTAACCTTCTCCTTGATATCCCCAATCAAAGTACATGTCACAAGCATAAAAAACAGCCAAATCAAAAGAACTCAAACTTGCTCCTTGTTTTCAGCATAACAAAGGCACACAAATGATTTGAAACTTCCCTAACTTCATTTGCAATCAAGAATTTCCACAGCCTGTCTAAAACCATCCCATAGCAAAAATGGATGAAAAATTAAATTAGAATAAATCAAAATCGAATAGAAAATCAGAATCCTAATTCCTACCAGGCTAAATGCTAAAAGCACTACTCACTAGTCACTATCACTTTGCATTTTATCCCATTCCCATTTGCTTCTGCCTTCTCATCTCCATTATCTTCCTATGGGAATTGGAATGTTGATCACTACGAAAAGTTGGGCTGCTTGCAGGACGATATTCAGGCACAAGCCTCCCAGACTTATACCTAACCCCACATGCATTACAAAGTGTTTTGGGCCCAAGTGGGCCTGCCCGCCATTGTGGAGTATTTTCAGCTCCACAGTGCTGACATTTCCTCCCAATTTTTATCACTTGTTCTGCTTTGGAAGTTTCATTACTCGGTTGTCTACCCCAGAATTCCTGGCTAGAGTTGTTAGCAATGCCAGGGTGACGCCTACTGCGACCCTTGCTCCGTGCACGGACAGGAACCTTTAGGTGATCATAGCTGTTTAGGAGGGAAATACTGTTAGTGCTGTTATTACTGTTGCTACTGCTTGTGCTGTACTCGAGCACTGGGGCTGTCCTTTGGTGCTTGGTCATGTCAGGTTGAATAGACTGTAAGTCAACAAATGTTTCAACAGCAGGAAATGCATCTTTGTTTGATAGCCATTCTAGCTCCTCCTCTGCAAACTCCTGGAACGTGAAAATGGGACCATGTTAATCCCATATCACTCCGTAAATATAAAAAGGATTTTTCAAGTCAATGCAGGCATCAGAATCATGCAATTAGTCATGATTCTTCTAAACTGAGAAACATATGGCTCCACAATATGGAAATCTTGGAACCAAAGTGAGCATCACAAGTAAATGCAAAATATGATGGAAAGATAGATCATTATATTGTACATTTACCAATCTAGGATTTCCAATTCAATGATACCAACAGAAAAATAAGTAAAAATCTGTGAGCATGTGTAAATATTCTAGTTTCGACAAGAACAGTATAATAGTGCTACTACTACAATAGGACAATACCCCCCATTTTGTACAAACACGCACAGAAAAATTCGTTTTACTTCAGTTTTGCTATATGATCACCAAATTAAGAGTCCACCAGGACAAACTTTTCCTGCAACAAAAGCCATACTCATTAGAAACCTTCTATGCTCACTAAAAGATAACCCATATATTTTCTGTAATTTACTCACCCATGTCAACCCAATTCACATGCCAATTCCAGCTGATTCCAACAAAACCATAATTCATAATATACTTCTTATTGTTTCAATTTTTACAATCACAGAAGCACTAACTCAAAACACAACATCCTCAATTTTCTCATGGTCTCATAAACATTCTTAAAAAGAATAAAATGGACCATCAAACTTACAGAAAACGAATGGTTTGGATCATCCAGGTCCAATGGATTACATGATGGTGGATCACTGCATTTTGGGTTAAGTGAAGGAAAGGATTTACTAGGTTTGTCATCATCATCATCATGCTCACCTATGTCCGATGAAAAATCCAAGAAGTCATCGACAGACCCAAGGGCCTCCATGCCTGAAAAGAAAGTTGTGCTGAAGCCTTAAAAGTGGTGTTTCTAGAGACCAATAAAAAAGGTATGGATAGAGAAGTATAAACAACATATATGTATATATATATATAGTGAAGACCATGCTATACAAATATGTTGTCTAAGAAAGTACAATTTTTTCAGTGTTTAAATGGATGTTTGGTAAGAGATTAATTCTGGGAAAAGATAAGTTATTTTTCATAAGCGCTCTCAAAAAGCTGGAAAAAAATAAGCAGTTATTTCTTTATAATAAACTGAAGCTGATGTGTCACTAAATTACAAAATTAAAGATACAAAGTTAAATCAAGTTACAATATAGTAGCCCAATGTGTCATGTCTGCAGATATTTGCATGATCAAGAATAAGAGACAAGCAAACAAGAGAAAATATTGTATCAGAAACACTTGACCCAAATTAGAGGATATGTATATTTTTTTATTAAGTTTAGCAGCCTTATGAAGATAGGATCAACAGATACTTGTCCATGAAGCTATATATTTTATGATATAGCACATTCAGAGTGTTGCCCTTCCTTGAGAAATTTTGCTGGTTTGTTTTAAAAGATTTAGGTAAATATAAAGAGGCCAGATTTTGTGGAAGTTCCCATTCTATGCCGCATAGTTAACAAATTCTCTCATTGATCCTTAGTACCACATACTGAATTCACCAAACCAAGTACCATGTACTAAAGGAGGCCTTGTAATAATAACATAAAAAGTGACGATCTGCTTACCTACATGAACTGTGTACCCATAATGTGTATTTGGTAACTACATTGTATGCCATCCTTTGCAGATTCACAGGCCACATGAGCTCTTTAATATGAAGTGCATTATGTCTGTTGCTAATTCAGGATCAATTCCCCGTCTATTCTTACACCGTCCTTTTCCTTTCTACTTATGTGGTATGGACATTGTTTGACGTTTTTGGTAAGGCTAGGTGCCTGGTCCCTGGACCAATTTTTGCTGACTAGCTTTAGTCAGTGGTTTTAGTAAAAGTAAATTAGGCTAAGTTTTTATGGCAATCTGCAAGCTATGATACTATTTGATGCATTTAGTGGAGTTTAGCACCTGTATTTTGAAAGACTTAGGCTATTGGATTCTGTATGGTATCAAGCATAAACTCCAAGAGCATTTCTTTAATAGATGGGTAAAGGGAAACAATTTTACAATTTAAGCTTTCATTATGCTGGAGTTATGTAGATTTCTTCATTATTTCTATGTTCCAGAATAAACACAATTTCAACAGATTTATATATCCATAACCTTCTTCAGTAATTTACATTATTTTATGCTAATGTTAAGTCATACATAGTGCAGCCATCTTGAGAAATCCACAATTCACCACAGAAGTAGAAATAACTTGGTATCAAGTGGTTTTGTGGGATAAAGTTACCAAAGATTCAACAAAGTAGAAGGTAAAAAGCAATGTAAAGAAGTTAAATTGGAATCCTTCAGAAACATGGTAAAACATAGTATGAACACAGCCTTTTGCTAAAAGTAAAGAAAAAAGAGAGAATTAAAGCTTGTTTGAAATGATTCTCAGTTTTTGATTTTTCAAAACTTCTTTTCAACATAGTTTTTAAAATTCTTCAGTACAATTTTTGAAAGCAAAACAAAAGCAAAATTTATTTGTTCAAAAAAAGTTTTGAAAACAGTTTTTAAAAAATTGTACAAGACATCAATATCTCTCAATTGCACATTTGTACAAGATCAAAAGAGTCATTTATTTATTATAAGAATACCATCAAACTTAAAAACAAAAGTACGAAAGCAGCTCTAAGCTGTTTCTGATTTTTTGTTTTCAGAACTGCAATTTTGAGAACAATTTTCAAAATGCATATGCAGAAAACAATTACGCAAACATTCTGTTCTTTCATTCTAAAAAACCTTCAACCTCTGCAAACAGGAACCAAAAAATGTTCAGTCAATTATGGTATAATAGGTGGTTACAAGATAAAAAAGTAAAAAAAGAAAAAAGAGAACCATAGGATTATAATTGTACTCACTTATGCAGCTAAGGTGGGTAGAGAGCATAAAAATTGTATGATAATGAATAATTTAAATGTTAGAGTTCATACTTCATACTTGTGACATTGCTTACACACACTATTCCAAAATTCCAGTCACTGAGAGAACTCAAGACAGAATAATAAATTAAAAATATATATATAAACAAAGAAAAAAATCACAAGAATTGAACAGAAATGCACAAGCAAACAAGTAAAAGGGTCAATTTACAAAAGGGTCACCTACCCATTTCAAGTATCTACCAAAGACTCTAAACAGCATATTTAGTTAAGCAAATTAAACATGGCAATAAAAGAAGAATAAGTAAAAAAAAAAGTTAACAAGTAAACATAAAGATTTTGAAGCAAAGATTAACATGGTTAAGAACCAAAAGAACAAAAGACTGAGACTTACGCTTTTGACGTTGTGTACTTGAGTTGAGTTGCAGCAGCTAAAGAGAGAGAAGAAACCCCAGAAGAGAGTTGAGGGTGTGAGAGAAGAAGAGATGGTGAGGCACGTGTAGGGGATTAGGGAAGGCCCCAGCTTGGGATTTTTATTCTTACCATTGTCCTGTCCTATTTTGGTGCTTTTTTTTTTTATGTTTTTCCATTTTTTTTATGATAAACAAATTCACACGTCTTTTTGTAAGAAAATAATCATTCAAAATAACTTCTCACGCAACCTTTTTCCATTTAAAAACAAACTAAGATTTAATGCGTACTTAGTTTTACTAAATTTTAAAAAATTAATTGAGTTTTAAAAATTCTCTTTGTAGATGAATATTGACAAAAAAAATTAATAGTTTTTTAAATAAATTGAAAAAATGCATTTTTTTTAAATTCAAATGAAACATTTTAAAAAAAACTTAAGTTGTCAAAATTTTATTTTACTTCTTATATTTCTCAAAACATGTCTCATTTATCGGGTGAGAAATAAATCTTTCCCAATATAATCAAACACTTAAATTAAGAGTATTTCAAAATGATATTTTTCCATATACATAAATTTTAGAATCAGATTCATGATGAATACTTAAGAGACTCTAACATCTTCATGTGAAAATAACTCATTTATAATGAGTTTTTTTATGTATATTATAACTTTTTATTTATTTCTATTACTTTTAATTATTTAATAAATTAAATAATATAAAAATTCTATTAAGACAGTTTTTAAAATAATAATAATAATCTCAGTATAATAATAGACTAGACGCGCTAATGAATATCTATAAATTAAGTTTATTTAACAGTTTAAATAAGTTTTAATTCTTATAAAAGTTGTTATATTTAAATTAGTTTCTAAAAAAATTTATTAAAATTTAGTCATTAAAAAAATTAAATAAGTTAAGAATTAGTTTTTTTAACTCAATACTAATAGTAACAAATCTTTATTTTATTTAGTGTATAATATTTAATGTTGTTTTAAAATAAAAATCTGAATAAAAGTTATTATATTTAGAATTAATCTCTAAAAAATTGGTTATGATTTAATTTCTAACAATTTAAACATATCACTTAAGTAATAAGATGGCTAATAAAAATTTAACTAGCATTGTTACATGTTAAGTACTCCAAAAACTCTTATCTTAGTTAGCATAATTCTAATGTCTATTACCCAAGTTAATTAGACTTGATTTTGTATTACTTGGTTTTATCTTCTATGATTATACTAATATTATTTGTCTAACGCTTTAGCATTTTTAACTAATTTTTTTGTAAAATTAATTTTATAATTATAAATAATTTATAGTCATTATCTTATCTATCTAGTATAATTTCTCATACCTCAAACAAGAGAATAATCATTTTTATGGACATTATTATTTTCACATTTCATACACTCACTTGTAAAATTCATAATTAATTTATTTTAATTTAAAAATTATGAAATCGGTGAGATTATTCTCCTTTATGTATTTATTTTAAAGTTAAAATACTTATAGAGTTCAAAAACTTATAAATATTATTTTGAATTTTAGTTTCTAATTGCAAGTCACAAGTTGTCATGTTTTAGCAACACTAAAAATCATGAAATCAATGACATTGATTTTCGTTAAGTCTCTAATTTAAAAAAAAAATTAAAAAAAATCAGCACTCACAGATTTTAAAGTGAAGTATAATGGACAAAATTAATTTTTGACATGGTACTTTTCTTATCATTTTGTACTTGATTTAGTTAGCTTTCAATCCTAAATTAATTGGTTCTTCCCTTTCATTTGCCTTAATTATTAGTTAGTTTAGAGGATAATTTAGTTGCAATTAAGTTAGACTTAATTAGATAAGACTCCTTCATAGAATCAAATATCTCATAAACTTTTCATAACTTAACCATCTTTCATATTTTCTTATCTCATCCAACTCATTCCTCACTCAATTATGGCCAATTTAGCTTCACTTTCAAGCTGCAAACCATGCACAATGAGCTAGATTGATAAGGTTACAAATTTCCCACTTTATTTTCAAGTTGTTTTTAGGAAATTTGGTTTGAATTCTGTACTCAAGATTTAGGTTTAGTTCTTAATGTCTAGCTCACTATTTAAGTCATATATTTGTCATAATTTTTTTTGAATTTTTCCTAATCATTGACTTGTTCAAAATGGACTAACATTTTAAGTCCTTCTAAAGATATTTTAATTATTTTGGCCAAATTTTATTTATTTATTTATTCTTCCCAATTTAATATAATTATTGAAATCTCTAATTTAAATAGTTTAAAATAATTTTAGTAATTAATCTCTACTAAAAATTGGATTATCCAACACTCACATTGTTTAATTCTTCCTTTGTTGACTCTTTCTCTTATTTTTTTGATAGATGTTGTTAAGTGTTTTAATTTTTTATGTATTATATAACTTTAATTTATTTATATTAATATAATTAATAATTAATTTAGAAGCGGTGAAAATTTAGAATTTTACATAATTAGATGCATTATTATTGTCTAAAATATACATAACAACCAAAAAACTTGGTTGCAAAAGATGTTGCACTAATTTTGCGATGTAAAAATACTTTGTAAATCCCAATTCTAATTTTCAAAAAGCAAATTTATGATCACAAAAGCCTTAGAATTTAGTGATGAAAAGTTGTCAGTGGAAAAAAAAATCATCGCTAAAATTCAATAAAGTTATGAAATATCATTACGTAAGAAACACTAATTTATATATTCAGTAAGTAAGTTTGGTGCCCATTTCAAGGGGGGAAATATATAAATATATAAAATTGATACTTAGAGAAGAATAAAAGTATTAATCTTGTAAGGATTTATATTTATAAAATAATATTCAATTTATTTTATTTGTAAGATTATTCACTTTATATATATATATAACAATAATGATTAAATATGCGCACTAATGCCTAACATTTGTAATATATCATTATGAAATAATAGGATATTATAATTTTCATTACACGTTTTTTTGTTACGTTGTTTGTTAATATTTTTATGAATATAATCATTGTTTTATTTTCACTACTTTTTTCTGTGTTTAATTAACAACATTTGACTATCTTTTATTTTATTATTTATTTATTTTCTCAATTGATTATTTGTGTTTATTTTATTTTAGTTGCATTTTTTGTATTGCGTGTTGTTTATTTATATTTTTTATATGCAACCTCACTCCTAATTTTGTAAATTATTTGTGTGTTTTTTTTTTCTATCTCCAATCTCTCTCTCCTAGTTCTTGTTATTCGATGTTAAGTAGTCAACTAATATGGTCTTTTTTAAAAACTCAATGAAGAATAGCCAGCTAAAAGAATATATCATTTCAACTCTTCCTCCTCATGCATAAAGCTCATATTAGATAAAAGAGAGAGAATAGCAAATTGTTAAATGTTAGATTTCCAGGGTTATTTATCTCTCTTTCGAATATAGCTTCTCTTTATTTAGCCTTTGGGTTTCAGTGAAACTCACAAATTTACTTATGATCTTTTCTTGACCAATGTGGCAAATGAATCGTAATTCTAACTTGCTTTCGTGTTCAATTTTACAAACTTATTTCCACAAAACTAATTTTTAATTCAAATAAATCAAATTTGAAATTAAGTGATTTATACTTAAAAATTGAATCTCAAAAAAGAAACTTGTAATAAAATTCAATAAAAAATTTATAACTCCACCTAAAAGTTAGGTGTTTTAACTTTTAGCCTATTATATGGTTTGTCATTTTTTAATATCCAGTTATTTAACAATTTCATAACAAACGTGCTCTCGAATTCACGGTACACATGAACTTAACAATTGTTTTGCAAAAATCCTAATTTTTTTTTTCAATTCTACGATTAAAATGTTACAAACGGTGATTTTTTTGAGAAACAAACCAAATAAGCACAAATACACGCCATTGAACTTTCTAAATATTTGTGATGGAAAATTTTCTAAATAAAGTAATCATTGAAATACTTTTCCTATTATAACTTTTTTTTTCTCATTTAATTACTAATAAGTCTATATTTTGACATACTTTTATATTTTATATATTTACGAGCAATGATTATTTTATTAGTTATTTACAATAGTAATAGAAATTAGTGTAAAAAACTAATAAAATAATAATTACTCATAACTATATAAAGTATAAAAGCATGTCAAAATAGATAGAAATTGGACTTTACAGTAGTCAGTACGCTTATACCTTTACAACCAGCACGAGAGTACTTCAGTAATATGCATGGTCGTGCTTTTGGTCATGCACGACCGTGCTTACCTGCAAGAAATCTAACTCTAAAGTAATTTTAAGATTTTTACACTCTATTAAATGAATCCAAGGGCAATGACTTAAGGGCAACTTTTTTATTATCCTTTTGATATCTCTCGTACCTCACATCTCTTTTTATATCTTCAATTTTGGTATTGGTCTTGTAAATTGCTAATGACAATTGGATCTTTGGGAGTGTATATTGGGATCAATAGCTCTCTTTATCTTTTTTCTATTGGAGACTCCTCTAGTTTGCATTTATTTTTATATTACTATGGATTAGTTTATTGTTATTTTGGTTCTCTTTTATATTATGTCTAACTAAATCCATAACTAGGGTTATGGTGGATTCTTTCCATGATTCTATAAGATTTTTTATGATTTATGATAATTTTGTATTTCTGTTATTAATTGGTGTTTATCCTATCTCGTTATATTTATATGTCGGGATTGACAACTCTTGAACATACCATAATTAATTATATTATAGGCGATCGTACCACATATATAGTTAATTGATCTATAGAGTAAAATGAGACAAAAGATTAGGTGAATTAAACTTAATTTTTCTCTTTTAATCGTTATTAAACTAACAACTCATAGACTCTTTATATTTTTTCTTTCTTTTATCTTGCATGATCATTAGGGGTGATAGTTTGAAAAAAAGACAGCTTACACTGTATAATTATTGGATGTTAATAAATTTAGTATGAGTAATTGACAATTATAAAGAAATCAGAATTAGAATTAATTTAGAAGAGAACATAGAGAAGTGTAAAGATAAAACCATATGTCCTATGTTCTTCTCAATTAATTTATT